TAATATTAATGAAATTGAACAATAAATGTCCTTGTATGCTTTAGTAAAAGAGCCATTTAAGTAGGTGGGTATTTGTAGAAAAATTGAGATTTTTAAGGAAACAGATTAAAATAACTTTTTATTTTTTTGATAATGTATCTATTAGCTAACGAAGACCGGTAAATCACAATTTACTCCTAAACAAAAGAAAAAGAAAAATTAAAATCCTGAATTGTTACCATAACGAAATTTACCCCAGATCCCATTTCATACATTTATTTACTTTTATCGAACGTTTCCTTGCTCTTGGTTATCCAGGTTTTATGTTCTTGTTGTAATATCTAAGAAATTCAATATTCACAAAGGCCCACCAGCGGCCGAGCGGTAAAGTCGTTGAACACTGGTAGTTCGGTCCGAGGTTCGAATCCCGTGAACGGGTTGGCTGCATGGGCGGTTTCGTGGTTTTCCCCATGTATAACGTGTATACGAGCCAGCTTCCCTTAGAAAGTCCTCCACGAAGGTATTCCTTCCTTTAGGCAGATAGCCCTAGTGTGCTTTGCAATAATTAAATAAACGAAACGAAACAATATTCACAAAACGATTTCTGGTGTTAGATGTGAATGCTCATTGCAGCGTGAAAGAGTGTAGCATTCGGGGGCGGGATAAAACGCCAGTTTTCATTCAGTCCCTAATGATACACTTTTAGATCTACTTTCATTTCATCTGTTTTACGCTCTTTTAAAAGGAAAAAATACAACAAATCTATCTTAAAAAAAAAAAAAAAGGGTTTGATGCCCACAAAGTTTGCAGTATGAATCTGCTGCATAGAAATTTCCGAAAGAAAAAGTAAAAATTGTTACATTTTCTTAAAGTAAAGCATAATATAATTTCCCAGAATTCAAGTAACGTAATTAATACTGTATAAAGAACTCTACTTCAGTCTCATCTTGTTCTAAAACACATTCAAAAATAAGTTTTATACGTATTGTATGCATGCATTTCTAAAAATAACATATGTTTTTTTTCTTTCCAACTTAGAGAGTGGCATATCTAATTCGCAGAAAAATATAAAATGTTTCTAATTAAAGAATTTTAATATTTTTCAGGAAATTTTTATTTACACCTTAAGATTAAATTGCGTCTTCAGCGTTCAAAGCGGAGACTGAAAAAAGTATTTGTGGAAACGATTTTATAGAGCTATTTTGGGTATGTTTGTGTATGTTAGGTCTTTTACATTTTTTCGAGGATTATGCAAAACAGTTGAGGATAGTTTTAAATAAATATGTATCCACGAGAAATATAAAGTTCTTTTCGGCAACTAAAACAATTTTATTACATTTTTCTACTAATTCGCATTTCATTACTGGAAATAGTTAAGTGTACCTTTCGTTTTCTTTCACTAAAATTTATATAACCTATTAACAAGCTAATTTCTATTATCACATGCACTGAAAGTTAAGAAAATATTAAACCAATAATTTTATTTTTGTATTAACTTAATAGGATTTTATAACTTCATTTAAATTACAGAAAACAACCACTTAAAAATTAAAAAATCTCAAGCTTTTTACAATACATGGCGCTTTCTTATTTTCTGATTGTATGAAATCAACCATTTAACTATTTCGATTTCTTCATTGCTGTTTTAAGAACACATATAGATGCTAATATTAAAGCAAGAAACTAGTACTGCTGAGTTTTATTTGGCATTTAGTATTAGCATGGACATTAATGTACTTCTCCAAAATGGCTTTTATTTATCAGCCAGACCCATTCAAGACAGTAATATAGATGCCAGTTTTTATAAAATATAACATTCGTTTCTTTCATGCATTTATAAGCTTCGAAATGATAGCTTCGAAATTGATTTTTGGGTAGATGGGATTAATTTTGAAGAAATGAAAAGGGTTTGTAGATGAGAACAAAATATTGTAATGATTTCCGAATCGATCAGATTTATATTAATTTCCATTAAATAGCAGTTTAAAAGTCATATATTTTAAACAATGAAAACAATACGCATGAAGGAATTTTCATTTTGTTTGATACCAAAATATTAAACAGAGCTTTGACATCAATATTTAGATACTGTTATGATGATATTTAGTTCTTATTCTTCAATTGCTTCTCATGAGGTTTCTATTTTCGCCGCCATACGCTGCTACGTATGAAATATACATTGCTAATACGTTGCAAAGCATTGATTTGTGGAAGAATATAAGGCACCTGGTTAGTAGCTTCAAAGAATTTTTATTACTATGAGTGTGAAAATAGAATGAGGGTTTTATAGTTGAGTACGAAAGCCGCTGGCCTATAGAAAGGTTTACAGCATTAACAATAGAAGAAAAATGATGTCTTTACAATAGTGGGGCATCAGTTCATTTTTACAGCTGTGAGTAAATCATAGCGGCTCTTGCTACACTGAAGTTCTGAAATTTCCCAGTTATTCCGCAAAGAGATGCATAATATTCTGCCGTTTTTGTAATACAATCCTGTTATAAAGGAGAGCAAATCAGAATACTGTGTTTCCTCATGTGCAATTGATGGCTTTTTCAAATGTATTGCATCCATCAAAGGGTAATAAAATACGTGATAATCCAGCCCTCTCATGACACCGCAAATTCCAATATCGAATTTTTGGATATTGAAGAATTTTAACAAATTGGGGAGTCCATGCCTCGTTACAAAATATGTGAAGGACGCGTTCGGATTCAAAATGTCTGTGTAGTTTCTAGAAAATTTTCTTTTCATTGCCTTAACTTGGTTCGAAAATTCTTGCCACATGAGCATATAAATGAAAATCAGATTTCCCGTCAGGCAAGACGACGGTGGATCAAAAATGATAAGCATTGTTTACGAGGTTATTCATTTGTTTCGTTTAGTGTTTCTAATTTCATTTTTAATACTGTACTCAGTTGGGGGGGGGAAGGGCGCAATTCTTTCGCTCATCCAGGTTCCAAGGTCATGTGCTCTCCAGGCCAGCGTTTCTCAATCTGTGGTTTCCTAAATTTCCCAAAAAGACAAAACATAAAATTTAATTTAGTTGCGTATATCATAATATTGCTGAAAATCCCAGAGTTCGAAAATTATACATGGCAATCGTTTATCACATTTCCTCCGAGACTGATATTTTAAGAAATTTATTACAGGTTAAACCTACCTATGGACTTCTCACTTTAGTCTTAATAACAAACTAAGAATTTAAAGAGCTATGACTGTGATGCTTCTTAGAGCATACACTAAACATAGAACAGCTACGCAAGAATCGGCATGGCCATCCATCTCATTTATTGCGAGCACCAACGTTTATTTAAATTTTTTACATATACGATATGGATTATCCAAACTTTAATAGCTTTGAATTATTGAAAACGAATACAAATTTGTTTCTGTTAACTTTCTTACTTAATAACAATATAAAATTAAATCAATTTTAATTAATGGTATTTTAAATGTATGCGCATAGTAACATATGCTAAAAATATGATTTCTAAGGAGACAAGAATAAAGTGGTCTGCAGAACATTTCAATTTATAAAAGCGGTCCCCTATTTGAAAAAGGTTTGAGAAACGCTGCTCTAGGTTATTATCGAACAAGTGGAATTTTTATGACAACTTAAATAGGTGAGTGGCTCTCTTTTTGAACTTTCCTAAGCCCTATTAACATCGCTTTAGTTTTCCTTTTCAGAAATGGAGAGCTTAATTTTTGAGTACAATGTTGGAAATTTCAGACTTTCTTTAACACCGATATTCACATCCTTGATCATAAGAATGAGATCATCCATATATACTACTAATGGAGTACTCTTTACTTTACTCCACCTACTTAACAGCTGGTCCACTTAGATATGGTGCTTATCAGCCTGTTTAAGTCCTGCCAATGTTCTAATTTTGTTCGCAATTCCGGTCTTTATAGCAAAGGAGAACGAAAGTACAGTGTAAGGAGTTAAGTCAGGCGTGCGGCTAAAGCAGTCTGATTTAATTGTACTACTATTAGGATGAAAGAGGGCAGTGCATGTGCTGTTCTTTTGGTTTTGGTTTAAAAAACGAGCTATCGCTTTGTGGGTTCTCGAAATACTATCCCTTAAAAATATTATGCAATAATTCGTGCACCAGTACAAGTACATAAATGTAGAGGTATGATACAATTATAATTTTAGTGCAATATTATATTATGAAGGTCTATTATATTCTAATACTAGTGCACTTTACAAATCTGTTGTACATACATTAAAACTGTTATGCAAAATTTACTTTGGAGATAGAAGTTCAAACTATACTTAAAAACACATCTAGTGCGCTGATAAATGGAGCACTCTGCTCACTATGAACAGTACGAAAGCAATGTTTGGAACAAAATTTCACATCAGCTGACAAACTCCTTTAAAAGTTTATAAGAACATCATTCTAGCGTGAATACTAAGACTTTAAAGAAATACTGCTATTTGGAACGTGGTCTGTGGGAATATTTGAATCCAGATTGATTCTATCAGTGTACCGCCATTCATGGTGAACTGAGGATAGTCTTTATCCTTTAGATGGCTGCTAATTACTAATAATTATAGGTGGCTTTAAGAACATCAAGTTTAAGTTAACTCTTAAAACGTCCGCCTAAGAGAGAATTAAGTACTCTTCTTACGTAAAGAATCACTGTACTGTCTTTAACTCGTACCTTATGTTCACGAAGTATGTGGTTTAGTTCACATTGTGCATGGCGAGTTCAGACGTTCATTTTTTTATAAAACTATTTCTGCAATATCTCGGTTAGAAATAAATGTAGGTATATTGGACGATAAGAAGATTCTGAGCATTTAATGGAGTTAACATAAATCTTCAGCGGCATATAAACATTCTTCAATAGCATCGGCATTCTTCAGAATTTTCCATTTACTGTTTACGCGGCATTTTCTTATTAATATCATGAATACGATCTTTTTTAAGTAAGAGTTAAAAATAAGTTTTATGCAATTTTTTCAAAGAAATGCTGAAAGAAAATTAAAAAGAAGATATCAAGATTTTCACCTGTTGTTTAGTGATGTAAATTGGCCTGTTGATTACGAGCCACGTGACTGATTCATGACATGCAGGTACAGTGAGTGAACCCTCATACGTCACGAAATGAGACGTCGAAGGCAAAAGGCCCTGGACGGACACATGATGTAGCGGAACTTCTTGCCCTAGAAAAACAAATAAATTACACAATTTTAGGAATAATATTTCAGAAAAATATTTTGAGTATAATCACTTCAAAATATTAAATCATAGCTTGAGTTACATAGCTTGGTGTTATTCTCTTTCATATGAATACGTCAAATGTGTCCATAATGACCAACAAGTTATATCTGAAACGTCATTATAAAACCCGTTTAAGATGTTTATTTCATTAATTTAGTAACATTTAGTTGTCTATAATTGAATATTTGAATCTTTACCTGAATACGGAGCAGCAGGAGCTATACTTGTCCAAAGGAAGGGATGCCTTCGTGGAGGATGTTTTGAGGACAATGACTCGTATTTGCTTTACGCATGAGAAAAACAATGAAAGCACCAAAACATGCACTTATGCATTGCTAATGTGCCCAACATTCCCCAGGACATGATTCTGGGTTCATTTCATAGAGTTTTAAAGGTCTTAATCTCTCGACCATTGGAGAGACTTCTTTTTATACTGTTGGGAATATAAATATGATATCACCATTTTTTGAGTAAGTAAGGGACATGTATTTGTTTTCAAAACGAAAAAGGAAATTTATTCAAAGTCCTTTCGATAAGAAGCTTCAATATTCACCTGCTTTTCAGATAACACAAGAAGTCTGTTTTGTCTGTTCTGTCTGTCTGGCTGGTTTGAAGCAATCCCATCATCAAATCAGTTTTTGATATCGTAATAAGATTTGAATTGTTCTCCAGAAAGATTACAGCTCTGTATGGATCGAAAACATTTTATCCAAAGGATTAACATTTGCTAGAATTTCCTTGACTGTTCTTGCACTATGTGGGTGAGCTGTTTTTCTGCGTATTCTGGGCGTTTTCGTTTCACTGTTTATTCAAATTGCTTAGCTGTTGTTTGTAACATTCAACATTGATTGTCTAACTTGATTGAGACAGCTAAAACTGTTATGGCAATTTTTCACGTTTTTCCCCATGTGTATCAAATTAATGAACTTTAAACTGTCGAAATCATTCTTTCAAGTTGTATTCTATAGAGAATATTCACAATACATTTTCATCAGACAACACGTTTCTGCTTTTTGCTTTGCAATAAAACAATGAAGTAACAACTTCTTGCAAATGCTATTTTTTTGGCACAAAACTCGAACATTTTAATGAGATAAAAATAAATATTTTTGAACTTTTATCATATGTCACATATTAATTACTAAAGATTGCCATCAAACTTTAGCGTACCAATATTCAGTTATAAGTAAAATGAGTTACAAACAATATCTTTTAGGAAAAACCGTAATCATATTTGTACAACTAATAATTAATTTTAACTTGCTTATTCCCTAAAAATTATTTGTTTCGGTTATTCGTAATACTTTAGTACTTTGAGTTGGTTACAGCCGAAAACATCGCGGACGAAAACGTCACGGAGAAAACAACGCAAGGCGAAAACGTCGTGCTACAAAACATCATGTGAGAAAACATCGCAAAGAGTAAACATCGCAGTTCTAAAACATCGTCGTCGAAAATAAAGTGGTTCAAAAACTTCGCAGTTTAAAAACATCGTCGTCGAAAATATCGTGGTAAAAAATAAAGTATCTGAGAAAATAAGAAGGAAAAGTAAGCATAGAAAATTAATGCAACTTATAGCACTTAATAGAATTTTAAACCGACATAGTTAACTAACAAAAGCCATTAATACATCACTTTTATAAAGTTTTTACTGGTAATTTTTCATGAAAAGTATAATCTATAAGTTGCATTTAATTTTATATGCTTAAGTTTCCTTCTCACGTTTTCAGGAAAATTTATTAGTTAATAAAAAAATGTGAAAGTAAAAATTATCATTCTTTACATCTTGCGCTCACAAATCATTATGGGAATATCCATTTACAATTACTAAATCTGAAAAAAAAAAAAAAATGTCTGCGATGTTATCGTCATGCGATGATTTGTAGATACTTTATTTTTTACCACGATATTTTCGACGTCGATGTTTTGTATCACGATGTTTTAGAACTGCGATGTTTTCTCTTTGCGATGTTTTTTCCCACGATGTTTTGTAGCAAGATGTTTTCTCCTTGTGTTGTTTTCTCCGTGACGTTTTCGTCCGCGATGTTATCGGTGCACACCCTTTGAGTTTGCGAATGAACATCAGAGCACCAGATGTCTCTCATTTTGATGTAAAATGTCTAAAATGCAAAATATAAAATGCCTTTCCCCCAATGGCGGTCTTTAGCCTTTAAAAACGTTGGTCACTACTAGGCCAAAAGCGGCGGTTTCTTTGTTATAGAGCGACCTAATAGGTAGGCCGTCGTTGTTTCCTGTGAAGGAAAGGACAAATTACATCCATGCCTACTTTGGAACCCGCACCCGCACCCGCACCCGAGCCCTTCAGTACAGCAGTCAGAGCCAGTAATCACCTTCCCTTCGCGACGGTATAAGCTGCAACATATTACTTCAAATCATTGGTTGCTTTTCTACGATTTCCATCTGTTTTTTAAGTGGACGCTGATTTCAAACTATTCTTTTTTATAGTCAAAAGAAAAAGTAAAATTACCCCCCTTTTTTTTCAAACTTATTATTTTGCAGTTTGTTATTTCATGGCAGGTGAGGCGAAGTTTGTTGGTCATGGTCACCATTTTCAAAATTGAAAATGCAACTGATACTACATTTATCCACAGCCCGATTCCTCAGAAATAATACAAACAATTAATCTCCACCATATTATTTTTTATTTAGAGAATGGAAATAAGTAGCTTGCATAAATTTGACTATAAAGAAATGTGTTCTATGAGTACTAAATTAGAATATTAAATACCGTCTTCCATTCTAACCTTCTCATTAATAAAGTCATGGATATTTGTGATATTTCTAAAACGATTCGTACTACTTCTTATTTCACGAGGCTTTCATTGAAAAATAATTCACAATTAAGCCATTATAATATTTAATAATTTTACTTTAAATTACGATCCATTAAAATGATTTTACATCTTTCTAAAAAGACACAGTATTCAAATAAAACGGTAAATAAAACTCTCCTACTTTACTCATAAAATGTTAAATCTCCTTTCAAACATGAAAATAAACAAAGTCTCGAAAATATTTTTGTCGACCAATCGAGCTCTGCCAAATCTTGACTTCTCAGAGAAAGCGGAGAAGGGCATATAGATATAATGATTGGTAAGGAAAGCAGCAGGGATGTGGAAAGACTGTCAAGAAGAGATATTTATCAGGAAGCGAACCACAGGAGACTATTTCGTCCTCCCAAGACTAGATCAAAAGATAAAATAAAAACTCACAATAGGTACCCTTCATCTTGACGTAGAAAGTGTTTTTTATTTTAGTTTGACTATTTTTTTCTTTAGTCTGAGTTACGCAGATATTTTCTCAAACGAAGGCATCACAGAGCATCATCTTCTATAGAATACGAGATTTATTAAAATATCAGTCTCTTTTAGCTCAGTCTTGGTGAAGTTTATGTTTCTCTTGCTTTTTTAGAAACTGCAATAACGTCACTCTTCTCATAAGGTTTGTTCCAGAAGTTTTATCACAAAGTAACTTGACATTTATGATATTTTATTTATGTTGATAAGTGTTTGCTACAATATAAGTCTGCATAATCAGAAGTTTTCTCTTGATTCACTTTTGCAATAAAATAAGTTGGTATTAAGTATGATAATCAGAGTTAAGTTTCTATTTTAATTCTATTTTTCATTTATGTTATTTTTCATTTGCAGTAAAGCAAATTTTATTTTACTAAAAAAGAATTATTAAGAATATGCAGACGATATCAAATGGGCAGACGTCTCTGAATTTAGAACAGGTTTTTCTATAACAGATAAAAGTTAGATTAAAAACAGACAGAAGCTAGCCGTGTAATAGGGAACTAAACCGAGTTTTGCCTGATGCGTTGCTTGTAATTTTACATCCCCAATATGCCTAACTGCTAGTTGTCTCAACAACATAAAAGCTTTTTTTATTGGTAGGTTTTAACTTGCTGTTCCCTTGAATATCAAATACAATAAAATGTAATACATTAGGTAAGAGAAGAATATTACAGACAGACGTAAAACAAGGAAATGTTGTATGAAATTCTTACAAACGATAAAAAATGAAATTTCAGGTGTGTGATTACTCAGAAATTGAAATTATACGTAACACTGTGTGATCTCATACTTTATATATAAAAGATATACTTTATATATAAATAATTATATATTCTGTGTTCAAGTCATTTTTTTTTCTAGCTCAAAGAAAGAAAATTTCAATAAGAGTTTAAAATCAACAAGTTTTGTTCGTATAAGGAAAGAGATTCATTAAAAATTGATGGAATTCATATTTATACCAGAAAATAAAAAATAAGATTGATAACCTCTAATCTTGTTTCACTTTTGTGTAGTGGTTCTGCACGCTGGGACGGTATTCTAGAGGTTCGTGTTTCGATTCACGGCGAAGGCGGTTGCTAATGTTTCATCTCTCTGACCTCAAAATTATCTAATGTCACTACAGTGGCGCCCGAACTATGTTGTGTAGCGAATTTAATTTAATTAAGTGATTCATAAAAATCAAAATTTTAATTTGTAATTATTCAAAATTTGAGCTACGCAAGTTTGGTTATATTCTTTTTGGGCCTATTAATTCTAGTGTAATATATTTTGGCTTTCCGAGTTTACGCGAACTGCGTCTTCAATCTTGCACACAATGGATAAGTATTTTTTTTCTACGTAATAAAATCAGTTTTTCATGTCAAAAATTAATTTGATTTCTTAGTATTTAATATCATTAGTTGCAGAAAAATTAGCTCTTTAATTTGGCATAACTTTCATTTTTCTAACTTTAATTGCATTTCAGTTATGAGCTTTAATTAGTAGATTTTTCTTCGTTTCGCTTGTGATTTAGTTAAAGGGGGATGAAATGCCTTCTTTCCGGTTGAAAAGTCACTTTTTGCGAGTTTTCAGCGTTCCTTCGTTGGGACCCTTGCAGGGTTGTTGAAATTCCTAATCT